GCTGTAGACCGTGGGGGTGGGTGGGGGGGTAAGGCGAGAGGAAGGCAGCGGCTGTTGTTTTTGATTATTCTTTTTAATTGTGCGTTTGTCTGGTTTTGTTTGTTGTTATTGATGAGTTCAACTGAATTAAAACAGAGAAGAAGGACTATTTTAATGTCTTTGCTTTCTGCACTGTCTAGGCACCTCAACGAATCGGACTTCGTATAATATGGCGGCTGCTGCAATGGGGAGAAGGGAAGAACAAGGAGAAGAAATATGTTGCATTAAGAATAAAATAAATGCAACAAATATGAAAGCAAAAACAGAAGAGATTATATTCATCTTCTACAGATGATTACCTGCTGACAAGAAGCAGCTTCGCAGCAGCAGCAGCAGCAGCAGCAGCAGCCACTGGGTGCTTGCTGCAGTCGTGCGGCGTGCAAGAAGGAAGCCGCAGCCTCCCTCTCTCTCTCCGTTTCTCTTGGTTGTTGTTTTGTGTTTGTTTGTTTGTTTGCTTTGGTGTTTGTGCTGCATGAATTGCTGCTGTTTGTTAAGTGCGGCTGGTTCTGAAGAGGCGCTGCTGTGTATTTAAGCTAGAGGTTTGGTTGCTGCTGATATTTTCCTTCTTCTTACAACCCGATAGCAAGAACCAGTGGTCTGTTTTGTATTTCTTTCCTTCTCTCTTCTTTTATTTAATTGCTTTCTTTATTAATTATCTCTCCTATGTAGAAGCCTCCTCTAGGTAGAGATGCTGGGGTTGACTGGGGCTCCCACCCCTTACTTCTTTTCTTTATTGCTGCTGCTTCTTCCTTTAATTTAATATATTATATTATATTATTTATTAAACAAAAGAAAATGACGCAAGCACAAATCTCTTCCTCCCGCAAACAGTGCGACTTCGCCAAGCTGTAAGTACAGCTGAGTGTGTGTTTATATCCCTTAAATTATCATCATACTTCTTTTGCTTTCTAAATAATTAAACATAACATTGAAACACAATAAATTTGCTTTTCTTCTTTTTCTCTCCTCAGCATATCATTTGCGTACAGCTGGTCTCAGCTTTATTGCGTTAAAAAAGAACAAATAATTCAAGTCCTAGGGTGTATGTGCAGCTTTTTATTATTACTTGCGATATTTGCTGCGGTGTATGGGCAGGTTAATGGCAGGATACGATCTTGAATTGAATAATAAAAATACGCAGGACTTTAATGTTGTATTTCATGGCCCTAAAGAAAGTAAGCTGCTGCTTCTTTATGCGTTTGTTTATGTGTTTGTTTATTTGCTTATTTATTTGTTTACTTCTTTATTTGTTTATTTCTCTGCTTCTCTATGTCTCTATCTCACTTTGTGTGTGTGTGTTTGTTTATTTTGGGGGTTTGTTTGTGTGTGTGTGTGTGCGGGTATGTGTGTGTATATTCTTCTGTTTGCTTGGGAGGTGGTTTTCTTCTATGTTTGCTTTCGTTTGGGGCTTTATCTTTTCTTTTGTTTTCTTTGTGTTTTAATTTCCTCTCTCCTTTAATTACCTCAACCATTTCCGTTGGCGATGGAAGTCATTCATGATCAAGTTTCATGTTTATTTCGGGTGTATATGCACCTGTACCGATGCCTCTCCATGCTTTTTGTCTGGGGTGTATGTGCAGCTGTGTGCATTTGAACTCGTTTTCTATTTGCAGTGTATCTGCACATCGGTCTATTTTTATGCTTCTCTTCAGTTGGGGTGTATACGCACATCAGTCTATCCGTGTGTTTCTTTTAATTTGAGTATGTATGTATGTACACTTGTACATCACTTCATTCTCTGTTATTTTGGGGTGTTATGTGTACATAAATCTATTAATGCCTTTCTATTGATTTGGGGTATATATACATATATGTATATAAGCCTATGGAGGTGTGTATATATGTATATCAATAAAAATACATGTATGTGTTTCTGTTGCTTGTCTGGTGTTTATATATACATATATATATATATATGTATATGTAAATGTGTGTTATGTAGCATGTTTATTTACCTTGTTTGGGGTGTATGTACAGCAATCTACGAAGGAGGCGTTTGGCGAGTGCACGTGACTCTACCAGATGATTATCCTTTTTCTTCTCCTTCTATCGGCTTCCTTAATAAAATATTTCACCCAAATGTTGATGAGGCATCAGGCTCTGTTTGTCTTGACGTAATTAATCAAACCTGGACTCCTCTTTACAGTAAATACTCAAACCCACTATAATACATTTAATAATATATATTAGGGTTTAGGGTTCAGGGTTTAGGCAACATGGGTCGCCGTCCAGAGGGTTAGGGTTTAGGGTTTAGGGTTTAGGGTTTAGGGGATTACACATCACAGCGGCTTCAGATTATGAATTATATTTTGCTGCATTTTTCTTCTTCTTAACTATATTCGTTCTATCGTCATGATAACTTCGTTGCTTTTTCTGCTCGCCTCGATTCATTTAAGTTAAATATAATTGACCTCAGTTTAACTTAATTTGTTTTGTTTTACTTCAGTTCAACTCAGTTTAGTTCAGTTTAGTTAATTAAATTTGCTTCAATGCAATTTAATATATTCAAATTTACTTCAATTTAATTTACTTTGATTAAATCTTCACTAAAATAATATTATTTTTTTAAAGTCTGAATTGAATTGGCTGCCATTTTAATTATGTGAACTTCGACTGACGAATTTCTTGCAAATGTTTGTTGCATGCACAGGCCTGGTGAACGTCTTTGAGGTATTTCTCCCTCAACTTCTAACATATCCAAATCCTCAAGACCCTTTAAATAGCGAAGCAGCTTCGCTGTTAAACAGAGACAAAGCGCAGTATGAACAGAAAGTTAAAGGTATGGCAAATTTTGTTTTTATATGTTTTATTTATCATCATATTCAATTCAAATGGATTTTATAATTTCTATTTAATATGAATATTATACTAGTGCAAGTGTTTTGGTCATTAGCTAAAAGGAGAGTTCAAAGAAGATTCTAATTAATAGCTTGAAAATATTATGTATATAATTCTACATAGTTTAAGTGCATATATATACATATATACATATATACATACATGTAATTTTTCAACAAACTACGATTTCCTTAGACTGCAGTGTTTAGGGGGTCAGCCCCTACTTTGCTTTGTTGCAATTCCTTTGAACTCTCCATTGACGTACTTATTTTTATTTCTTTGATAGAGATAATTCAATCTGTATATACTCAGTATGCATACGCATATGCATATAAATTATGTTTATATATGGAAGTATATATTACATAGATACATGCATATATACACATATATAGTCAATATAAAGATATGAATATGTATTTTATATTATATATATTCTTTCTACAGCCATTGAATATAGGTTTATTATATTATTTATCTATGCTGCATATATTTAAGATAGTACTTGTGCTTCATGACGCGCAGAGATATGTCATAAATTTTAACTATTTATGTAAATGTATTTTATATAAATGTATATAAATAGTAGAATATAATATATGTGTATTATATACGTATATATACATATTTAAATACAGACAGAAAATAGAAAAATATTGTTTGTTTGATTATTTGTGCAGAGCACGTGTTGAAGTACGCAAGCCGAGATTCGTGGGAGAGAGAAAAAGCAAAAAAGAAAGAAGACGCAGCACAGGCTAAGAGAAGGCAAGAAGAAGAAATGCAGCAAAGAGAGCTTTCAAGGGTTGATGATGATGCAGATGGCGGCGATATTGATGATTTATAAACCCATTTAAACACACGCAATGCAGCAGCATTGCGCGTGTTGTTGGACTCAGCACCAGCAGCAGCACCTGCTGCTGGTGCTGCTGCTGCTGCTGCTGCTACAGGTGCTGCAGCAGCAGCAGCAGCTGCTGCTGCTGCTAAATCCGAAAAGGGCTGCTGCTGCTGCTGCTGCAGGTGCTGGTACTGCTGCTGGAGGTGCTGCAAGGTTCTGCTGTTGCTGCTGCAGTTGCTGCTGCTGCTGCAAGTGCTGCTGCTGCAGCGGCGGCTGCTACTGGGGGGCTGCAGCAGCTTCCTTTTTCTTGAGTCAGTTTTTGCGGTTTTGTTTATCGCTGAGGGGAGGGGAGGCAAAAAATATAACCCCAATTATATCCCTTCGTCTCAGCGGCAGCAAGAAGAGCAGCAGCAGCAGCATCCGGAGCAGCAGCAGAAGAAACGAGAGCAGCAGCAGCAAGAGCAGCAGCAGCAGCAGTAGCTGTTGAGATGTGGGGGGAAGCAAAGCCCCGGGCATGCAGCCAAAGCGGCTTTTGTTTGTCTAAACATCGAACACCAACATATACACCCCACACATGCATTTATGCATGCATTAATGCATGCATACACCAATGCATGCATGCATGAACCGAACGAATCTGCATGCATTAATGGATCTAACAACAAATGTGCATAGATGAATGAATGCATGCATGAATCTATGCATGCATGCATTAATGCATGCATTTACGTTTGTCGGGTTTGTTTGTTGTATGGTTGGGTTTGTTGTTTTTGTCGTTTTGTTTGTTTTGTTGGCTTTGCATGCATGCGTTTGTGAGGGCTGATGGGGTGACTGTGCATCGGGTAGCTGCAGCATAGAAAAGCAAAGATGAAGAGAGAGAAAAGAAGAAGAAAGAGAAGAAGAAGCCTTTGAGCAGCAGCGGAGTTTAATGCAGAGTTTCGATGTCTATAAATATAAACACTTCAAAGCAAAGACAAGGAGAGTGTCATAAATATTTTATTTAAAAAGAAAGGGTGATAGGTAATGCGGTGCCTTATTTTCTTCTTTCTCCTCTGCAACAGGCGACTGCCAATGAGCTTTCTCTTTCTGGTCATTTGAGTGGGCCAGCATCAGCAGCAGCAGCAGCTGCTGCTGCTGCTGCTGCTGCTACGGCAGCTGCAGCGGCTGCAGCAGCGGCAGCAGCTGCCATGGCAGCAGCGTCAGCAGCAGCAGCAGCAGCGGCGGCGGCGGCAGCAGC